TCTGCTCTGAAGGTGCCTCCTCAGCCCCTGCTCTGTGCCAGCAGCCTGAAAGCAGAGAAGAAATGCTGAGTAGCTCCGGCAGCAGGAGGAGGCAGTTCTGTGCTTCACACAGCAGAGGGGACTCAGCAGGTGAAGACATGAGGATGAGGATGGTGTGTGGTGCAGGGAGGAGAGGCTGGGTCCACAACTCACTTCTGGGGGGGGAGTGTGTTTTCACCAGGGCCTTGGCGACTGGCGTTCAAGTATTATTTTAAGGATATGGGCACAGACAGACCGCGTGGTGGGTCAAGCATAGGCCAGGGGTGGTGAGCACAGCAGAAGGAGCAGTGATCTGGGGGAGATCCCAATGAAGGGTAGAAGACAGGTGAGGGAAGGGGGCAGAGTGTCAAGGAAGGGCAGGGAAGATAGGAGAGCCTCTGACCTTGGCATCAGAGCAGTGTTGTGAGCCTGGGACATGTTCCTGTCAGGATCCCCAGCCATTTCACATCCTCTCCCTGTCGCCAACTTCCACGTGCAAGTGTCCCCCACTTGGAGGCGTACCCACTTGGTCCTGTACCCCGTGTTCTCCCAGCTCCAGCTGGATAACAGGGGACCTAGAAGATGCAAGTCCTTAAGGCAAACTTGGGACAGCTAAGTGGTCAGTGCAGGCCCAAGGCAACCAGCCCCCAAACCACCTCAGGAAACAAAAATGTCCCAGAAACCTTGACCGAAGGCCCCTCGGAACAGCTGGTGTTGGGGCTGCTTGTGAGGTATCTCCACGCCCCAGCCTCTGTGCCCAGAATGAAGAGGAAAGCCGGGGGCCAGCCCAGGATGTGGGGGTTGGGGGGAGGGCCTTACCCAATGACACAACAAGTGCAAAGACCTCCAGCATCACGTCCCGGTACAGGTGTCGCTGAGCCTCGTCAAGAAGCCTCCACTCCTCCTGGGAAAAGTACACGGCCACGTCCTCAAAGGTCATGGAGCCCTGTGATGATGGGGACAGTTGTGTCCATAAGCAGCCTCTCCCAGCAGGACCCGGTAACTGCCCCGAACCCCAACCTC